GCCTGCGGCTCCCCCGGCACAGCATCGCTCCTTTTTGCTGCGTTGCCGGCGGGGAAGGGCTGGTGGAGAGGACTCTGCTCCAGCAGGGCCTGGGCAGAGCGCTTCTGCAGAGCCGCCCTGAGCAAGGCTTGGCCTGCCAGGGGGAACTGAGGCACCTCTGGGCACCGAGGGGTCGCTGCTGAGACCGCTCCCAGCAGAAAGCACGTGAATTTGTTCAACTTAGAGAAAAGGAAAAGATTCATCTGCAACAGTAGCCAAAGGGAGCTGCTGGTAAATTATTAACAGCCTGGCCTGCATTCTGCCTCAACCCGGTGCACAGCAGAGACTGCAGTGCCTAGGGGAAAGTTAAAAAAACAAAGATGCATGCGTATTCTCTAGTGATGAAGGGGTGTCTAAAAAAATCGCATCCCGCCATACACTGAAGCCCCACCGCCTGCAGCACACAGGGTAGGCCGATGCTGAAAGACGTGAGCTGAGAGGGGCCGCTTTGTGGAGCAAGAGTAAACAGCCTGAATCAGGGGAAAACGCAAATAACCCCCAGTGTAAGGCCAGCATCTGAGGAAAGGGAAGAGATTACTGTGGAAAGAAATGGGGTTTGGGCAGCCTCAGCTACCCTGGCGCCCAGGGTAGCCTCTCTGTTACGCCACGCCCACTCACAGCCATTTTGCTCCAAAAACCTTAAAAATAACCCTTAAAGTGTGAAAAATTCTGCAAAAAGCAGCTCGGTCCCTTGCAGAATCCTCTCTGCAAGTAGCAAATGAAATATGAGAGGGCTGGAGCCCAGCCTGTGCGGGTGAGGTGAAAATACTGAGCAGGTTCAGAGGCATCTGCTTCGTTTGGGGGAAGATGGCTAAAACCCTGAAAATGTCCCAAAAGCAAAGGGTGGGGCCGCTGGCCCCACCAAATCTTATTCCCCCAGACCCTCTGCTAGATGGGGATGTGCTCAGTTCCACAAAAAGATAGCCCATTTTGTGGAGCCTTTGAATATTCAAATTGAAAGTATCGCGCAATCATTGATTGTCAAATCATTGGTTTCTAGAGGTTTTAAATACTTGGCATTAGGAGAGAAAAACTCAAACTTATACCCGTAGGTATAAAGCAATAATATTGTCGGGCTCCACCTGGCAGTGCCACGAGGCCAGCAGCTCCCCTGCGCCCCCCACTTTCAAGCCCGCCGCCTCTCGCCCCCTTCCCCTGCTCC